GTCTCATATTTTTCTTTAATCGAAAAAATTTACATTTTTGTAAATTAAATTAATTTTTAAGCAAATATAAATGACAAAATTCATTTCTTTTTGTTTTAAATTAAATAAATTTTTGATTTTAATTTCGTAGGATTTTTTTGGCATTTTTGTTTATCGACCTTCTCTTTGGCTGTGAAAAAAATAGAAAAAAAAATTGCCTCTAGGAAAATAGGGAATAATGTAACTAACTATCCATTTACCGTTTTTAGCAGCATTTTTCGAATTTTTTTTTCTTTTTTTTTTTTTTTTCATTGACAATTTATCAGCCAACGAGAATGTATTTCGAATTCTCGCTTCTCTGACAGTCTATATCCCTTGCTCTCTCTTTCTCTCTCTCTCTCTCCCTTTCTGGTGGACCATTGCGGTCAACACCAAAATTGCCAATGCGAGCGACCAATAACTTTCTATCGATTCACCGACTCTGGGAGCTCGAACGACCGGAAACGATAGTGTATAGTATAGTAGTCTCCACTGTCACGTGAAAAGAGAGGGGAGGTAGTGAGGACGCACTGTTATTTCTATGAAAATTGGTCTGATTTTGCGAGATCGGACTAAAGTAAACATTTCGGAATATATCACAAATTTACACACACGTTGTGTGCTCTCGATTTGTTTATTAATTCGATATCCCTCTTTGACAAGTCAAACGATGATCCAATCTATAAGCTCGTTCAATATTGTCACAGAAATTGTAATAGAAAGAGTGTGCTTTTTCTCAAAATGACATTTCAACTAATTTAACAATTTTTTTTTCCTTTTTTTCAACTTGTTTAATTCTTTGTTTTATCAGTAAGTGAATTTCACAATGGAACTGAATTCAATTAATTAGATGGAGAATTTTTAAATCTTGTGGTATTTTTCATTGGAACGACAATTAGTATTATAATGGTTATTTTCGTTTTTTTGTTCGAGTAACTATTTTGATCAATTAAATATCATTCAAATTTAGCATTAGAAACTAAATTTTCCATTAAAGTGAAAACAAAATTAAACTCAGCGTTTAGTTCCGATTTGAAATTGGAATCAAAATTATGTTCAGTTTCGATTTTGGTTTTGGAGTTTTAGATTTAAAATTGTGTACAATTTCGATTTAGATTTCAGAACTAGCATTAAATTAGAACAATTTTAATTTGGATTTTGAATTTAGAAATAAAACGTGTACAGTTTTAAATTAAATTTAGGAATCAGAATTACTACTTTCATTTGTGTTTCTGAATTAGCAAAAAAACCCTTTTAAATTAGGTTTTAAAGATAGAATTACTTTTATTATATTTTCATTCGCATTCTGGAATTAAACAAAATTATATTCGGTTTTGTTTTAGGTTTCGAAATCAGAATCAAAACTATGTTCATAATTTTGATTTGGGTTCTGGATACAGAATCAAAATTCTATTCTGTTTAAATTCTGGTTTCAGAATCAGAATCAAAATTTTGTACTATTTCTATTTGGGTTTTCGAATTAGAACCAAACTGTGTTCACTTCTGAATTGGGTTTCGGAATCAGAATCAAAATTATATTCTATTTTGATTTAGGTTTTACAATCAGAAGCAGAGTTTTGTTCCATTTTAATTTATGCTTTGGAATCAGTAATCAAAATTGTGTTTTGTTTTGATTTAGGTTTCAAAATCCAAGTTGTGTTTCATTCCATATGCAGGCATCCGAATCAGAATCAAAATTGTATTTAATTGAAATTGACTTTTTGATGTACAGCATCAAAATTCTTTACAATTTCTATTTTGGTTTCAGAATTAGAACCAAATTGTGTTTACTTCTGACTTGAGTTTCGGAGTCTCTATGTTTCGTTTTGATTCAGGTTTCAAAATCAGAATCAAAGTTGTATTCCATTTTAATTTATGCTTCATAATCAGAATTATATTCTGTTTAAATTCTGGATTCAGAATTAGAATCAAAATTCTATACAATTTCTTTTTAGGTTTCAGTATTAGAACCAAATTGTGTTCACTTCTGATTTGTGGTTCACAATCAGAATCAATTTCGTTTTGATTTAGATTTCAGAATCAGAATTAAAATTGTGTTCCATTTAAATCCAGACCTCGGAATCAATTATCAAAATTATGTTCAATTATAATTGGAATTTTTAATTCAGGTAAAAACTGTGTTTACTACCTGTGTATGTGTTTTGGTAATTGTTTAATTGGCCGTTTTAGCGTGTGTGTGTGTGTATACATAAGATATTAAAAGCGTCTCCCCCGGATGCGCGTAGAATGTGGTTGATGGTCTTGTAAAAAGAAGGAGGAAAGAAAAAAGACACATTGCCACGCGAAGGAAGAAGAAACGGTTAAGGCTATAGCAGAGTGTTGTCAGGAGGATTGTACGGAAGAAATACCGTTCCCATAGAATGTTAATGCGATCTTCAGCAGCAATCCCGGCGCACTGGCTCCTGTTACTCGGCCGACACCGGCTTTACGGTCGCACGCACGATGCATTGTTGCGTAATCCCCCCTTTCCCCACTTCTTTTTCCTCCCTTCTTGTGATTATCAGAGAGTTGGCGTATATATATATATACGCAGATGATTCGATGAACTCTATATAGTGAGTTCGCGTGCAAAGAAGTTTCTCCCTTTAGTGTTCTCCTTTTCCGGGATTTCTTCCGGTTTCGTTTCAAAGGCCCTAACATCACGATTCACTCTCATTTCCCTTTATTTTTTTTCACGTTTCTTTTTATATGTAACCTCTCTCTTCTTTACGTCCTCTTATACAATATAGTTCCATGGAATGCGAAAAAGGCTCTCGTCGTGTACACCACTTTTGATACGGTTCCGCCTGGGTTGTGCAACCTCTTGACCCTGAATGGGTCAACGTCAGGTTACCGCCAGTCTCGTTCCAAAGTCACAGACACCCGGCTGGCAAAGACCTTTTCCTTCTATGATCGTTTCTCTCTCGAGCAAGAAAACCGAGCACGTTTGCTTCAACGATGAGAAGCGTGTCGGAAATCTCGACTTCCTCAAAATCGACGAATAGAAAGACGCCGCCTTTTATTTTTTCTTTTTTTTTTGCTCTTACATCATCTTTCCAAATTCGTTTCACGTTACTTCTTTTCTATTTCTTTTCGTTATTATTAGATTAGCTTCATTTCGTTATGCTCCTTGGTCATCTCGTTACGCCAGTTTGCTTCGTTATGCCATTTTAGTTCCTCTTTTTTTTTTTTTAGTTTTATTTTGTCTTTTAAATTTTTTTTTCATGTTTTGTTTGCTTATACCATTCTTGCATAGGTATGACAGAAAATGATTTTTCAATGCTAATCATTCTCTAAATCTGAATCAGTAAAATTTAATTAATTCAAGAGCAAAAAGTGAGTCTAATTAAAATTAGTTAAAAATTTCAAATTTAGAGAGTAAATAATAAACTAATTCAATAATAAACAAATTAAATTATTATTCTCTTTAATTGATCAAAAATGACGGGCACAATGCCCCCTTAAATTTACGATCAATTAATCCTGGGGATCGATTATTAGACTATTAAACACAAAATCATGATTCATGAATTTATTGTCGGCCTTTCATCTATTACTGTCGAGTCGAATCTCTTTGATTATAAAATCGCAATGAGATTTTAAACAATATGTGCACTGAATTTGGTGTACATTATAATTTTAAAATAATCAATTCTCGAATAAAAAATCAAAATAGTATTATATTAATTAAAAATAGTATATATAAACAAAAAAGGAAATTAAAAAAAAATTTATTAATTTAGAAAAAATAGCCACCTGACAAGTTCAAGTTAAAAGCTCGTCTGGGTGTTAAAAGGAATGCTGTAAAATGGTCCAATTAGCGCGCGATGTGAAAAAAAGAAAAACGAGAACGAGTGTATTTTTTTTTTTTTTTTTTTTTTATCGTTTCTGTATGGCGATGCTTTTGAGATGCAATGAGAGTCTACCTGAACATTACACAGCGCATTGCAAATGTAAACTCATAAACAACATATATGACACGGAACAGTATTATTTATAACCTACTATAAAGAGGAGTCTTGATACGCATAATTGCAACGGTTATATACGCATTCAAACCAATAAGATATAGCAATATTGTGCGCGGTATAGAAACCAAACTCCAAATGGTATTTTTTCACTTCCCAATAAATCCATTTTTATTATGCATGACAAGTTTAAGGGTATAATAATAATTTTTTATTTTCATATAAATTCGATATACTCTATCTTGATCGCTTGTCATTATATCCTAGTATTCCTTTTATTTAACGGATAAAAATGGTGTACATCATCGATAAAACTACCTGATTCGAAATTTAGACTCTCTATCTTCTAAAAACCTCCTTTTATTCTCTCCAACACTTTCATACCCTCGAATTTGCAAAAGTGGAAATATCTGCTATATTGGAGGCTGAAAGGAGGGTTTAAAGATGACTAGAGAGGCGTAAAAGAGGTTAAAAAAACAAAAAAAAAAAAAAAAAAAAAACGAAAAAATAAAATTAAAAAAATGTAAAAATTGGATTTTTGTCTTTGTCGTAATACTATAAAACTTTAAGGTGGAATAAAACTTGGAAAAATTCAAATTAAGAAAAAATTATCCAAAACCTCTTTTCAACCTCTAAACATGCAGATTTGGAAATAAGCGCATGATTTCAGGCTGAAAAGAGGCTGAGAAAATCGAGGATGAAAAGAGGGAAAAATTTCGACTCGGGTAAAAACTAAAATTAGTATTAAAATTAAAATTACTGTTTAAAATTGTGATAATTTCCGCACAACCGAGTGTTCGTATAAGTGAATGTTTTACGGAAATGTTGAATGAGTGAAAAAACTGGCTTCTTATCCACGCGACCGTAACAAATGAGCAGACGCTTTTTGTAAAGTGATGTACATGCATGTCACACATAAAGGGCTTCTTTGCCACTCGTAAAATCTAGACAAGAGTTGTCTTAAGCTAAATGCTGTTTGTATATATATAAAGAGAAAGAGAGGACAGCACTTACCGACAGAGAAATTCCCTCTCGCCAAGACAAAGCTCCAAGCAATGTTGACGTGATGATGCATTAGTTGTTCTTTTCGTGTGACCCTGAAGCCGATGTCCTTGCACTCTATCGATGCACCATGCTCGTTCACATGGTCTAACAGCCAAACAACTCTTTTGGGCGTAGATAGTGAATACCGGAAACTGAGATTGTGACAGCGCACCTGCAATAAGAAAAGTGAACGACTCCTTTAAGTTCCCTTGTTAAAATCATAATGCAAAGAGTATGCATTTGTGTGTTCGTGATCCTTAACAAGGCGGAAGTTAACTCTAACAGTCTATTATTTTACCATCGCATAGCTTAATAAAGTAGACAATATTTTACTTTTTTTTTTTTCTACTGACACGTTAATAAAAGAAAAAAATTTACCATAATATTCTATCGGGGGGGTTCTTTTTTTTTTGCTGCTTTTAAGTGTTTAAATAAAGTTGTATTGTTTAAAATAACTCGGAGAGAATTTCAAGAGGGTTTATAAGTACAGTAAACCCTCGTTAAGTGACCGCTTTAGGACTATGTAGATTCTGTAGACCTTTCAATAACAATCTTCCTGATAATTCAAGAATAGTGTTTAAATACTTGATGGAGACTAGATATTCTTAAACTCTTGTCAATATGATGTGTGAAATAATTAAATATTTATTCCTGTTAATTGTTGTAATTTCACAATGTAAATATTATTTACTGACATTTTAGTTATTTTTTTTACTGAAATTAAAAATTTTCTCCAATTTATTTATTACTTTAAAATTTTAAAAATATATTGATAGATGACAATATTGAGAGAGAAATTTAAAAGATTTGCGAATCCTAGAAATTGTATATATATTTATATAAAGTAAAATACACGGAGTTTGCACATGGCTCAAGTACATGACGCATTTTCCGAGCAAAGGTCAGAGATAGCTAAAGAAGAGGAAAATAGCAATAGAGAAAAAAGGGGAGTCTAGCATTGCTAAAAGTACGAATGCATTCAATTCGTGGAATTGCATCACTGTCTACATAAAGCGTAGGAGTCGAAAACGCAAAAGACGAGTGGATGAAAGAGAAAGATATAGTCTCTCCCTCTCTTTCTGTGCCTGAATGTCGAGTGCAAAGGGCGATTGAAAACGTTGGCTAAGGTCCAAGGATCTTTTTATTCAGACTTCGTATACATGCTAAACTCGCCTTATCTGTTATATTAGTTCCACGAGTAAAATCGACAGAAACGTCATATTATATGCAAAAATTCAAAAAAAAAAAAAAAAAAGATCAATTCTGTTTCAATAACCAATGAAGAGAAATTATTTTCATAAATAGAAATATTTCTCTTTCTCTGTGGATAAAATGTCAATTATATGCTTTTATATACAGAGTACATTGTTTTAGCAATTTGATACGCTAGACGGTGAAAGAGAGAAAGAGAAAGATATACAGATATGTGGATGCTTTCATTCAGAGACAAACAGACGAGCAGGAACAATTACGCTACGTTTGCAAAAGCTAGTTGAAAAACTGTGACTTTACACGGCGAGTTAAGTCACTGTAACGACCACCCACAATTAAACGCTCGTCACACGATGTTGCATATGAGCGCACACACATTGTTTATTAATTTATATATATATATATTTAAGATTATTGTAAATTAACGAGCTTTGAAAGGGAATTGAAAAAAAAATTACCATAGAGTGAAAAGACGTATATATAACCAAGACTATAAAAAGATAAAACGACGTGGTAGCCTTTTAAATATTACGAGGCCAACGTTATTACTAAATATTACGATGTGAAAAAGTAGATGCTCTAATAGTTTAAGACCCCCTTTTTTTATTGTATATTCAAAATTACTTTTCATTTTTATACCAGGGGATAGAACTTATTATACAGCTCATTAAAAAAAAGGAGGGGGGGGGGAAATGTCTCATTCTACAAAGTCAGTTTTATATTATATTATATACTTTTTTTTGGAAAAATTTTTATATTTAATTCCTATATCAGGAAAACTCAGAAAAATCTCAACTTAAACGCTACTCAATTTATAAAAAAAAACGTAAACGCATCAAAAATGTGCCTCGTATCGCCACATTCGTTTATTTTGAACTGCAACAAAAATGAATTCTTTGTAACAAAATTCAAAATGTTATTTTCTATATAATAACAAAATAATCGTAGAACATTATCACCGGTTGTAATATTTTAAGAAAAATAATACCAACTTTTCGTATCACATGTATATAGAATCGGTTCATTGATGTATAAATGTATCATATCGGACAATTCATGTTTTGTGGTATATTCTCAACCTCACTGACGTTTTCACATGATAATTCACATGATCAATAGAGAAAGAGGTTCAAAATCAAAATTTCAAGTAACCGGAAAATGAATCACTTATGGATTACATTGAAAAATTTCGTTATCAATTCGATGATGAAAATTCATCACCCCCTCGAGGAATATGATATCATATATATATATATATATATATATATATATATATATATATATAGTTAAGGGACTAATTCAAAATTGAAAATATGCTCGAAATCAACTCTATGTACGTGTCCAATCTGTACAAAACTCATTTAACGCAGCGCATAACCGTCGGGCATATACACCCAGTGCAATTAATCCATGTTATACGTTAAATTGCAAAATTAACGTTGATCAATTATTCGCAACAGTGGATATCACATTAAAATGAAGCGGCACTGGACTCTACGTAAATCATGATCCTATCGTACAGTCGGCGAACTCGGTTCTTTTCCAATTTATCTAGCATATATTATACTGACAACGATGTAATTTATGAATCTTGCTTTAAAATCCCGACAAAAAAAAAAGAATAAAAATTTTCATCCCTCTGTATCTTACATAGAACTTGAAAATTTTCTTTTTTAAAAAATGGGTTTTTTTTATGCAAAATTGTTTTTTAATCAATCAAATTATGGAAAATAATCAGAAAAAATGATGAAAATTGGTTTTTGAAATAGGTTTTCTTTAGATTCGTAGAAGACTTGTAACTATAGTCTAACTGAATCTGTAATTGTAATATTATACGTGAGTATACCATCCTGATATATAAGAGAAGACTACTCCCGGAAGTGAGCTCAAATCACCATATAACGAACTACATATATATAGATATAACTTGTATCAGTTTTCAGAGGATGAAAAAAAAAAATTTTTTCTCTCTTGATAATTGTTATCATTGACTGTGATATTTTCCTTGAAATGGGGCAACGTACTGTAAAATGAGAGACGTGACCTGCCAAAAGCAGATAATTGAACAGCTTGCCTTTAGAGAAGATCGATGTCTCTCGTACACTTGGAAATGTCCCTACGGTATTAACCTGGCAAGTGAAACTTTCTCGCTAGTCACCGATCGAATCTGGCATCACTTCGGAGATTAATTGCTACTTCCGTATATAGAAGAGTAAGAGAGAGAAAGCTCTTCGAGATGACTACTATCAAGGAAAAGCAGCAGCAGCAGCAGCATTGCTGAACTAAGCCCTTTGATGTTTGATCCTGTTTTAACTGTTCAAATATTGATCATTGCCGCCCATGTTAAAATAGTTTCCGTTTTATACAAATAAAAGCGAACACCAATATACTTTATATATATATCCGCGAGCATTCATTGAGATCGATTCTCTTCATTTGCCTTAACTTTTCAATTAGCATTGTTGTTAACACTTTGGCACGAAAACTTGAATGGAAGAGTTTTTTTTATTTGTTCTTTTATTAAATTATGTTTTTTTTCCGTTATATATAAAATTTTTTTTTTTTGGTAACGATCTAAACAATCGTTTATATACGAATAAAGAATTGATAGTAGAAAACTGCTTATTAATTTACAAATTTTATAGAAACTATTTTGACTAATTTTTAGTTAAAAATGACTAATTAATAGTAAAAAACTACATATACATTTACTTCAATTTTTTATGGTTTCTATACCAATGATAATATTAATTATTAATATTTTCAACCATTGGTAGCTTCAATTATTAATAGTTGCAAACAATTGTAACCAATTTTTTATGGTTTCTACCAATGGTAACTTTAAATATTAATAGTTGCGACCAGTGGTAGCTTCAATTATTAATGGTTGCAACCAATTCTAACTTCCATATTTTATGGTTTCTACCTATGGTAATTTTAATTATTAATCTTTGCAACCAATGGTATCTTTAATTATTAGTAGTTTCAACCAATAGTAATTTTTAAATATTAATAGTTGCAACCAGTGGTAGCTTCAATTATTAGTAGTTTCAACCAATAGTAATTTCAATTAATAATAGTTGCAACCAATTGTAACCAATTTTTTATCGTTTCTACCAATGGTAAGTTTCATTATTAATATTTGCAACCAATAGTATCTTCAATGATTAGTAGTTTCAACCAATAGTAGTTTCATTTAATAATAATTGCAACCAGCAGTAGCTTCAATTATTAATAGATGCAACCAATTCTAACTTCAATATTTTTGGTTTCTACCTATGGTAATTTTAATTATTAATATTTGTAACCAATGATATATTTAATTATTAGTAGTTTCAACCAATAGTAGTTTCAATTAATAATAGTTGCAACCAGTGGTAGCTTCAATTATTAATAGTTACAACCAATTGTAACTTTAATTTTTTATGATTTCTACCGATGGTAATATTTAATTTTTAGTAGTTGCAACCAGTGGTAGCTTCAATTATTAATGGTTGCAATCAATTGTAACTTCAATTTTTTATGGTTTCTAACAAACATAAGCTTCTACCAATTAGTTAAAAATGACTACAGAAAAGTCTTGTTTTAACCAAATATACAACTTTTTTTGTAGTCATTCAATTTTTTGGTTATTTTAAACAAAAATTTTTTTTGATTTAAATAAAAATATTTAATCTAAGTAAACGTTTTGTTTATTTTAATAAATTTTTCGAACAAAGAAAGAATTTGATTAAGCACGGTGTTTGTCATCACGAAAAACCAAACATCTGTATATATTAATAATACGATTATTAGATTTAACAATTCCATTTTGCGCAAGTTTAAAAAAATTAAAATCTTGAATTCCAGTACCTTTTTCGTTACATTTGTGTTGTCTTAATCAGTGTCCAAGACATTTTATGCAAATTACCAGAAATTCCTCTTATTTTTATTATTATGAATATTCTTTTTTTTTTGAAA